GAGTTTGTAGACAATCTGCGTGGAAACGGTCGAGTTTAACCAACGTTTCTTAACGAAATGCCGCGTGTCTGCTCTCGTCTGGGCGCACGCATCCAGGTGTAGTCGCGTCGTCCGAGTTTGAAAAACCCCGCAGTCGCGCGCAATTGTTGTCGGGGCCTGCTGCCTGCTTCTGTTTACTGAAGTTTGGCGGGAGTAACCCCGAGAATACCCGGGATGATCCGAGTGCTCGTCTTGTGTTTCCTCGCGCTCGGCTCCAAACGGGAAAGCAAGATGTTTTCGTTCCAGCAAGAGTATGGATGGATTTTTTAGCATTTATACCCGAGAAATTCGCGGCGAGGATTGTGGATTACGTATTACCGTTTTTCTGATTAATTTTTTTGACACCTATTCGACTTTTTTGGTTTGTATTCGAAAATGATATTTTGGAATCAGCTGCGTGCCCCCCCCTGCAACAGTCTCGCGCCCCTTTAGGGGGTCGCGCCCCACAGTTTGGAACACACTGCATTAAGATATATGAAGAATTTCACAGAAAGTGTGTTCGTTGGCCTCATAAAATTTAAGAATTCTCGAAATTAGGTTTTTAAAAACAGAAGTTTTATCTGCTGCAAATTAATTTCGTAAAATCAAACACTAAAATCAAAGGCATGGAAGAATCCTATAGTTTAAATATTTTTGTATTGAGCATTTACTTTTTGATTTCATATTAAAACAAATTTCATACGCTAAAATTTAAATTCTACATCTTTTAACATTTCTTTTTTTAATCATTTATTTCCAAAACAGTGCATTAAAATTTTATCCTTTGCAATTCTTAACCATTTTATCTACATTTAACAAAAAATAACATCAGTGGAATGAAGGGAAAAAAAGATTTTAAAAAATAAAAGCCGTAGGAAGAAAAGAAAATAGTATCAAATGAAGCTGTCAAGATACCCTTTAAGCTATTTCTCAGTTTTTTTCCTACTTTGGCATTAATCGAAAGGCTCGCTTTTAAAATAATTTTTTTAATAATGGCTTTTTATTCCTCGAACATTTTGTACCATAAAACAATCAATATTCGGATATTTTAGAAAAAAAGAAGTGAAAAAAAAGAGGAAGGAATGCAATTTTTTTGCTACAATCGATAGTATCCTAGGTGTTTTTTTTCTTTTCTTTTTTTTTTTTTACTTTAAAGCGTTAAATATTTCTTTTTGATAAAAGGTATATAAAAAAAAAAGAAAACATATTTCACTGGAAATAATTTTAGCTAGGAAATATTAATAGGAAAGCTAATAATAAAATAATGTTTCATCTTGTTTTTTAACCTTGACACGTAAATTATTTTCTGAAATAAAAAAAAAAACGCCCTGCGCTGATTTTTCTAAAAAAAATTGAGACATTGATATAACTGTTTTATTGACAATTTATAATTAAAAATGGACAAGCAATGTGTGCGAGCATCTGGGAAATTTGAATGTCAATTTGCTCATTCTGTTAAGATGCGTAATCAATTGCGGAAATGAAAAAGAAAATTTTTCTGACCAATCAAAGCTGAATGGTAGTATTCAGGAAAACAGGAAATGTCGCTAATGTCTACAAATGGCTTTTCTTAGTGAAAGTATGAAATATGAGAATTTCCACGGGCATTGTTCAGAGGGATAGGCATTATAGACAATAACACTCTTTACGCAAAGTATGATAGTTTACATGGTTTTGATTGACAGAAATCGAAAAGTAAAAGGTGGCGAGATGAGGAAACACTATTTTTATCGCTGCTGTCTTTTTTTTTTTTTAATATTATTCTGTAGATATCCTAAGAATAACGCTTTCTTCATTCAATAAACCATTCTTTTGCGATATACAAAATTTATCTTAACTGGCTCATTTGGTTAATAATAATAACCGTTTACGAAAAACGTCAGAGAAGGAAAAACCGGACAATGGCTCTATACCTGTAAAAAAATAGCGGGGAATTCCCACACATCCCTGCAAGCTTACATTACCGGTAAATCTGGTTTATTATCCATAAATACAAGGCGATTACAGAGGTTTTAAACTTTCTTTAAATTAAAAAAAATATATATATGAATCCACCTATTGCTCAAATAAATTACTTTCAACTGATTCAAGTAATTCGTAATCATACTTATTAAAAGTGTAAAGTTGTGATAGTTCATACTTCGCCGGTTTGTCATTTAGCATTGCTCATAATATCAGATTTCCAACTCTATCATATCCAGATAGATATAACAATTTCGTACTAAAATTGATAATGACGATATTTATTTCGCAATACTTTATTCAACCAGTAATGAATCGCACAGTATGCCTGCTTTCGTATGCCTGTATGGGCAGATTGAGTGCGATTGAACTTGACTTCCGGTGGCGCCATCTTTGTCCAAGAATTAGACTTCTAAAACATCCGTTTAAAAGGCGGACCAATTGATACATCCATTCATTCATCCACAGATCGCAATTTTGACCCGAATCAGAGAACGATCGATCACCAATCCAGTACCCCCCGTGGTATTGATTTGTTATGGAAACATGGAGGACTTTGTGACTCAAACGATTAACGTGCATCAGTCACCAATTACTACGCAGGGAGTCTTCGGTCGACGGAGTTCGAACTCTCGGACATGGGCCCAGCTCCCTACCGACCAGGCAATCCCCACCTAATCGCACACTATCTAAGGTAAAAACGCTCTCTTTTTGTTTCCCTCTCTTAGCCTAAGTTGTCAGAAAGGTTTCTATTTCATTTTTTTAAATTTTGATTACTTTTTTGTTTTAATTCTTTCTTTTTTTTTAAACTTTAGTTCTTTGCTCGGAGTTTGCTACGAAAATTATATTTGGAGTTCGCAATTTTTTGAGTTATTGTTTTATTTTCTCACATGTCCGATTCACTTAATTGTTACACAGAAAAGAAGAAAATCGATTGTGCACAGTACCAAAAATAATGCCGCAAAGTGTGACATAATTAAACATTTCTCACATTGTCTAGACATTGTATACATTTACTAGGCACTGTGATATAGTATGATTTTTTCATACTTTTAATTAACATAATTATGATTTGTTCATATTAGGTGAAAGTAATTACCTTTAGTAATAAATGGATTCATATTTTAATTTGTTTTAATGAGAAATTCATATAAATTGAGTAATGAGTACGTATTAGTAATAATCATATTCAAAAAAATATTTCTTTTTTAAAAAAAAAGCTCTCTTTAATTTTTCACTCTGGCCGTTTTCTTTGATTTGCTCTTTCATTGGGCTAAATCTTGTTTGCCATCCAGCTCTACTAGAACTTTACCCTTTCGGGTTGTTCTTAGCTCTCTGACTCTGAGTTCTGCTTCAGCGGGGTCAATTTTCTCTTTAAGGACTCTTTCGACTTCTTCGGGAGGAGCGTTCTCTTTTGATTCAACCACCAAGATGTGTTTTTTAGACTTCTTGGATCTTCATGTCTCTCGGCCAACTTTAATAGCTTCGGCATATGTTTTTGGACTCTTTTTGTCTTTATTTTTAACCACCAAATCTAATGTTCTTTCGGCTTCAGCTTGTCGACCCTTGGTAAAGGATAGTAGGGTGTTTTGTTTCGAAATGGTTTGTGAAAACTCGACTGCAACCTGTGCGAACTCTGCAACCACCAATGCGTTCAGTGTTTTGCCCTGGTGCTTTTCAAGTAGTCTAATTATCTTTCCCAACAGGATTTGTGACTCAGCTCTTTCTCTGACTAATCTCAAATGAGTCTTCAAAACATGCAGGCTCCCAATCATCCTCTTCGCTTTTCGACATTCTCGAAATCTCAAATCTCTGCTCTATTAGCTTTGTTCGCCTTCGTCGGTCGTCCCCTCTGTCTGCGTTGGCCGTCAAACGACGTAACTCCCCCGAACCATGAAGAGGTGGAGAGCAGGAGTTAAAGCTTTTAGGTGTTATTTGACCGACGTTTAAGAATTCGCGCTGGGAATGGTCACTGACGACTTGTTCCACCGTCAATATTCGATTAAGAAATACTTTTTAAGCAGCTTTCGAACTCTAAGGGACACGAGGGGAAGAAATACTAAAAATCAATTTCATCTGCTTGCTATCTTCCACCATCGTCCGGACTTTTCTCAAGATGTCCGATCTCGCTCTCCCCACCTTCAGGCCTCGATCTTCCGACCTTTGTATATTTTACCCGCTGTCCACTCTTTACTTCAACGTTAGTAATGGACTACGAAATCTTTAAAATTCATACAGCAATAGCCTTTCCGCGAAGAAAT